AGAAAAGCTGATAAAGCTGGTAAATAAAATTTATATTTTTCAGTATGACATAATTTTTCTTCCAATACTTTAGTAAAAAGTCTATGTATATAGATATAATTTATACAAAATATATGCTAGAACAAAAGAAAACATATAAATAAAAGGATTAATTAATACTTTTATTTTTATTTATTTTCCGTACAAAACAAAGTCAACAACAGAAGAGAATTCGGCGAGTTCAATATTGAAAGCCCCCTTCAAACTAGTTCCCAGAGCCTTCGCTCGTCTATCTAGATCCCAGGCATTGCCGCGTATTTCGAAAATCTGAAGTCTCGTGATTTCAGTATTTATTCATTACCGGGGCCCAGCCGAAGGCTGGCACCGGTCTTAAAATGCAGACTGTCCGTTTTTTCAACGTTACATTGTTAGGGATATATCGCTGACTGAGATATATCGCTGGCTCATTGAAATCTTATCCGCCATTTTGAAAAGAAGAGTCATGGAGGACAGTCAAGAGAAAGATTATAGCTTTTTTGGGGAACGACACGTTCCCCCAACCCAACTAGTTTATGAGCGAAAATTTAAGAGTGAATATTTGGAGAGACAAATTTACGAGCGATCACTTCTGAGACTGAACCTTCCATCGTGAAACTTATCGAGAAATTGAGTGAACCTTCCATCGTGAAATTTATCGAGAATCAAAGCGAACACTTATCAAAATTTGTCTTCAAAAAGATTTCAATGATTGACATACCGAAGACTTCAAAGCTCCATCGCTATGTTAATAAGGTGAGAAAACTTTATCATGCACGATATAAATGTAATAACAAACGCGATCCAAAGATAATTAACTTAAATAAAATGGCTATACCCAAGAAAGCTTATTTGTTGTCTTTCTTTAGCAGGCATTATCACAGGATAATGAAACTAAAAATAATGTAAAGCACGTCGATCTTTATCATTGTTTTCTTGCAATTGTGTGAGTCATATGACCAATTATGTGAATTTCAAACTAAGTAAAGATGTTGAGAAGAATCCAGGACCTACTCAATACAACACTGATCATCATGAAGTAATAATTAGACCTTCTATGCAAAATCACAGCTCAACATTGGTTGAGGTCACACTAGAGACTTTACTATGGTAAAAAGGGCTTTACTATGGTAAGTCTCGCAACGTCTTCTTTACCGTAGTAAACCTGACAGGTCCACTTAAAAAGGCATTTGAAACTTTCCAGGCGTTTTTTCTCGCGTGATCGGTAACGTGAGAGTGAAAAGTAAAACAAATGATGACCTGCTATGAGAGCTGACTAAATTGAAATTACTGAACTGTAACTTCCTGAGCGTGACCCTCACAAGTGTACAAAGATGCTTCAATGTGAGAGAGTATTGTTTTCTGTTGTGAGCATTTTGCTTTTAATTCTGCTGCTCAGACGAGCAAGAAGAATGCGCTCCCTTATTACCTACCTTGGTTTCGAATACGGTCAGTATAAAACATGGACTGCGGACTGCGGACTACGGACTACGGACTGGGTATAAAATACGGACTAGGTATAAAACGCGGACTAGAAAATACGGACTGGGTATAAAACACGGACAAGGTATAAAACGCGGACTGCGGACTGCGGACTGGGTATAAAATACGGACTACGGACTACTTTGGTAAAAACCGTGCAAATTGGTTCTAGGTAAGGAAAAATAAGATCAAAAGATCGCTAAATAGCAAGACACGTGAGTTAAAGTTGTAAATACTCTTATAGATTCTTGGTGGAGGTGTCCCGCCCGGTTCTCTGAATCATGAGCCGGATCAAAATGCTATTTTCTTCACCCATTTTTAGACCTTGTCTTGGTCTCTAACAATCATGAAAGGGGTCAGGATCAGGGGGGTACTCCCTTATATAAGGGAAGGGTAGGAGTTTTGGGCCTTTTTGGTCTGAAAACACTTTGCCCATTTTGGTGTGGAATCGGGTATGGTTTTCGAGGGAACAACGGGAGCATACATGAATGGATGTATTTATCGTTTCAATTCCAAATGAATAAGAACGAAATAGAAATGTGCGAATTCGAAATGCATTTGGAGAATTTTTTTTGTTTCCGCTCTAACTTGGTAATGATGACAAAATTTCTGCCTAATCATACCTAACCTGTTCAAGGATCTAAGATAGTTGGGTCCGATGAATTGAGAAAGCGAAAACACGAAAATAAAACGGGAGAAAACTGGGGAGTCTCCCCAACTATCTGAGAACCTGGAACAGGCTAAATTAGGCCAGGTCCGAAAATGGGTATGGATTTTAGAGATCTAGTCTGAAAACGGATGTGGAAAATGACAATTTTTTGGTCTGCAATAAGGTCAGGATTCGGGGAACCGGGCACTACACCCCAACGAAGAATTCCCAGTAGTACCCCTTCCGGGGATCAGGAGCAGGGTGTAAATCATGTCATCATAATCATCACTTAGAATATAACGTTGAATGACGCATTTCGGTTATTATTCACGTATTTGAGTAATCCCTCGCACCTAAATACTGCTTTGTGCATCGCATTGACCTTCTCGTCTGAGTTCTTCATTCAGTCCTCATATTCCCAAGGCTTTATTTGAAACGGAATTGTGGCGTCCGATAAGAATTTTACTGATCTGACTAATACCAATACTATTTTTTTTTAATTCGGTGCTTCTTATTGGTGTAAAACTGCAAATTGAAATCTCTTCAAACTCCTTCTTTTCATAAAATTCAGAGTTCAATTTCAGTTGCCTTGAGTACCGGCATAACCTTCCTTCTCCATGGGAAGAATAGACTACGTGAACAGCGTTAAAGCTGGGACTACTGTTTTTGCTAGTCCGCTTTCTATTTCTCTCAGTTTTACCTTCTAAAGCTGTTTTTATATACATAGTCCGTAGTCCGCGTTTTATACCTAGTCCGTGTTTTATACTCAGTCCGGAGTCCGCGTTTTATACCTAGTCCGTATTTTATACCCAGTCCGCAGTCCGTGGTCCGCAGTCCGCAGTCCGTGTTTTATACTGACCGGTTTCGAATACGAAGTTAGTGAAGATGTTTTAGTGACAGGTTTACTGATTACTCATCGAAGACGTATTCTTAGAGAAAGAGCGGCATTGCGAAGGCAAGCGTGGGTTTAACCTCGACCCCAGGAATGGTTTGAAGAAATGTACAGAAACAGAAACCTTCAAGCACTGTGGAAAAAGCAATCACCGATGTTCTAAAGCTATTCTGTTATGTGACCCTTTTTGAAACTACTTTCCTCAAAAATCATGACAAACTGTCAACAAAACAAACAAAGTTTAGATAGACTAGAGATATACCGTATTTATTCGATTAACCGCCCTGGGCGCTTATTAAATTTTTGGACCTTGAGAGTGGGCGCTTATTCGAGGTGGGCGCTTATTCGAGGCTGGGCGCTTATTAAATTTTCACCATTTTCAGCAAGTGAAGTATGTTTATTTTGCAACAAAACAATAAATGCTAATAACAAAACGCGAAGAAGTAACAAAGCAAGGTTTCTGTAAAGTACTCTGAAGAAAACTCCGTCCTCGGGGAAGTCTCTTATTAGAATTTATTCACTCAAGTGGGTGGGGTGGGGGTGAGCGCTTATTTGAGTTTGATTGGGAGGAGGAGGGGGTGGGCGCTTATTCGAGGCTGGGCGCTTATTAACTTTTTCTTCCTTTAGGATGGGCGCTTATTCGAGGTGGGCGCTAATTCGAGGTTGGGCGCTTATTCGAATAAATACGGTACCCACCTATTTTTTTTGGTAACCAGATGGTTATCGGTGATGGGTCATCTTTGTTCTTTCCGCGGTAGTCATGGAAATTAACCAGTAACCAATTAACCAGGGTAGAGTTTACCATTGTAAACTGAAAAATGCCGGTCACACTTACGGCGCCGTTTACTATGGTAAACTTGAGTTTACTATAGTAAACTTTCTCTAGTGTGACCTCAACCAATGCAGTTGAACTCTCCTATTTCCTCTGAGAATTTGATGCAGTCAAGATTAGGTGCACTTTGTTTACAATCAATAGATGTTGGCGGTGCAGGTGATTGTTTCTTTAGATCTGTATCACATCAATTATATGGCAAAAGCAACCATCACATGCATATACGTACTGCTGGGGTTCAATTTATGAGAGACAATCCTGAGAGATTTATTGAGAGCAATACCGAAAATTCATGGATAAGATATCTGAATAATATGTGTATTCAAGGTACATGGGCTGATGCACTTATCATTCAAGCAGTTGCAGATATACTACTGTTTACCCAGTTCAGGAAAGAAATACTTCCTCTACAATAATTACTATAGGCCATATTGATGAATGCCACTATGTATCAACCACTGCCTTACAATCAAGTGCCTCCATTTCAATGTGCAATGAATTAACAAATGATACTCAGTCATCAATAAATAAGCATTTTATTATGTCTGTATATAACACTGGATGACATTTTTTACAGTGCAAGACAACAATCCATGACCACAAAGATCTATTTCAAAAATGTCTTATGTCTGTTATCATTTCAAATTCACAGTGTTTTCGCAAAAAATAGATAAATGTGATTAATAAATCTCAATGATAAACCTGATGATAACGTACTTGAGAAAATGTGAAATTGTGATAATTCTGTAACAAACTTCTTTGCAAACTTTGTCATTACCATTCAACCCAAAACTGTCAGTGATTTTTGCTTTTTCACTCAAACTTAAAAACAAATGAAAACCTTATACGGATCACACTTATTGACATCACAGTGTTATTAAAAACACTACTATAACACAGACCGTTAGCTGTAATAACACTGAACAAACTTACAACAACATCCTCCTTTCTCATGCATTTTGTTGCTTTTCTTCTGCATGAGTTAATTCAGACTAAGTATTAGCCTCCACAGAGGAGGGGGGAGGGGTGCGAGAGGTAAACTATATCTATGCAATCCCGTATCCCACTGGGCCCCGGTAAGTTCCACGTAGTGGTTCTAGTTTTCTTTATTTTTGAACTGTGTGGCTTCAATGGAGGAGGCGTTACCTCTCCTGCAAAAAACCAGCTGTAAATCTGGCCGGCAGTCAAGATGCTATATGCCCGCTCGATACGTTCTAGCAGCCTTGTCCTGTTCGGGTTTTTGTGTGGTGTATCTTCTCCGAGTGAATTTGAGCGTGGCTCTGGTGGCCATGGTCAATTCCACCTACGCAAACGAACAGGCCTCTGGAAATAACCCCGAATGCCAGAGGAATTCTTCGACAGATTCAAAGCAAAAGGTTAGAAGGCAACGTGTTTAGTATAAAGTACATGTATGTTCAAGTTAATCGACCGTAGTTTCACGTGCTTTGGCTGGAAAGAACAACATGACAGTCACATGCGTCATCAAAAAATACTGATGTGATTCGTTGTAAGCTTTATCGTCGTCGAATAAAGTAGTCCAAGATTGAAAATTTGCCGAGAATTTAAGTGGCGCTATGTCTATGTCAACATGTATGGTTAATTTTTGAGCGATTATCACGCTTGTTGTGTATATAAACACTGCATTGAATGATATCCTTTTCAAATCAGTATTGTTACATGTGTCCTTTGGAGACACCATGTGTTTGTCAACTTCTTTTGACGTCTAGATGGTTTGCCATGGGCCAAAATTACGAATATTATTAATTATACTACATGCACATGTATTATTAATATATTAGGTATTGTGGATTTATTCTAGTTGTTGTTTTTGTTTTTGTTGTTGTTGTTTTTGTCTCGGTCTGTTATTAGACCATTGTTTTGTAGTCCAGGCCCCACTTGCTCAAATGTTGGATAGCACTATCCACCGGATGTAAATCACTATGCAGTGGATATTATTAAAATAGGGGAACTAATAATTAGTTATTGCAGTATCCAAAGGATAGAGGCAATACTATCCAGTGGATAGCGTCATCTGCCAAATGGTGCCAGAGGAAAGAAACTTTTAAATGAGTCTGGAGAGATTCACTATTTTCTTGATCATATCACATTGTTGAATTAACAGTAATAAAAATTGCAATGTCACCACTCTGTAAGAAAAAAAATTCTATAAAGTGAAGGTCTTCAGAAGGTTATTGCAGTGGCAAACAGAATTGAATGGCTTTATAAACTTGTTGGAATGAATCTGCAGAAGCTAGAAGCTAATTAATGTGGGGTTCTACAGCACACTTCAAAATAATTTGCACTGACAACTTGTAGCTATAAGTTCGCAAGGTCTCATTGTTTATGGTTTATCCTTTTCAAAGGCATGGTTTTTCCAACCCGTCTTTGAAAGCGTTAGTGTCAATGTCAGTTTAACACTTGTTATCGATGCAATGATTTGTTACTCTTAGTACTTTAAAGTATGATTTAAGATGGAAACCTGGAAAGCTTTGTTCTTACCATTCAATTGCTCGCAAGTGTGTTCTACAGTCGAACCTCCTGTAAGCAACCACCCAAAATGCAAGGAGTTGGTGGTCGCTCAGAGCCGTCAACAAGTTTTTAACAGCAGGCAGATAATGAATAGTAGGCAGCTTTGGAACTTGTACCAAAGGAACAAGTTCATGAGGACTGAGGCATCTAGGGACATTTTGAAATTTAGAGTCTTGGAAATGGCATTTCCAGGGGTTTTATTTTTCCACCATGGATGCCAGGATGTTGTTTCGTCAGAATTCACATAAGACTGGGAACATGCAATGCCATCAAAATATCTCAGGCATTCCACAACATTGCACGGTTTGAACGCGTTACACATCTAAACCTGTTTAAATATGTATTCAACGTCATTCAAAACTCCAGAAAATTTGGCTGTTTTTGATAAGTGGTACGTTGCTTACTTAGTGTACTTGGATGGGAGGTGGTCGCTTACGAGAGGCGATTGCACATGGAGTTTTTTCTGTACAGTCAACTCTCCCTAAGACGGACACCTTTGGGACAAGTACTATGTGTCCATCTTAGAGAGAAGTCCATCTTATAGAGAGTAAAATAAGGGGAGTAAAGAAAAGCAGGGACCAACTCTAGGTGTCCGTTTTACAGAGGTGTCCGTCTTATAGAGGTGTCTGTTAAGAGAGAGTTGACTGTACTTTATACATGAATCTCTAACTTTTGAGTCTTTTCGATCTATGGGACCATCCAAGTGAATGACCCTCTTTTGTAGTACTAATTATTTTATTTAGTATTTTAGTTCTAACCTTGAGTCCTTGGGTTATTCAACTATGCCAGTAAAAATTAGTTATTTTTATCTGTACTTTCACTTCGTACTTATATATTTATTAATGTTAGAATGTACAGAGTACTAACTTTTGAGTCTGTGGAAGAAATCCCATAGTGTGACCATTTAAATGAAATCTCTGTGACAGAACTTTTGGATAGTGCTTTTCATTTCTTTGGATTTTACAAAAAGAAATTTAGATTTTTTTTCTTAAGTGACAGAACTTATTGAGTGCAGGACAGTATTTAGATGAGAGGTGAGCTCCTGTCTCCTCTTAATTATTATAAATGTGTCCAAACATTTTAGAATCAGTCTTTTTGACTGTGTGATAATCAAAATTGTTTTGTAGGATGGGGAGTTTAACTGGGATCAAAAAACACAAGGTAAACTGCATGCTAAATCTGTTTAATTTGGCTTGTGAATAAAGCTTTTGTTTTTAATTACTGAGCACCTACTTTTAGCGGAGCTCTACACGTGCGCAAAGGAGCCCTAAGCTTAGAAAATTCTATTCGAGAAATTTTGGTAGTGCACCTGGTGGACATCCATCCATCCACCCATCCGTTCACACTACAGGCCAACCAATGTGATATCTCACACTTTCTTAGCTAGTATGGCAGCCCGTCACCTGATATTGCACATCCGTGTTGGGGTGAATTGACAGCTGTCAAAACAGGGTAGTCACTGAACATTATCATGACTGTTTCACTGGCTAAGGTGTCGACCCATTGAGGGAACATTTTGAAGTTTCCCGCTGATAAGTTATATTTACTAGTTTTCAACTGATTACAGGCTCAACTCCAAGTAGATTTCCTTGTAATGGTTACACTTTTTTTGTTTGAAGTAAAAAAATTTATTAATGGGAACTTTGCCTTTAGCCTTGGCTAAATCATTTTACAGGCCATCTGATATTACGTGATGGCGCGATTTCGCATAATTGACCTCAAATCGCATCTGATCGCACAATTTGAGGAAAATTGCATAATTCTTAAAAAAATGCTAAATTCAAGTAAAGTAAACAATGAATTCTAACTTTAATTAAACATTTTCCCAATCGTAATGTTATTTATGGTGATTTACCACTAAAGAAAGTCTTGCAAGGCATCTGAAACCTTCGATCGCGGTATCTGTGCAGCCATTTTGATTTCAGAGACAAGCAGTGTGGTCAGCGGTGAAACAGCATTATGTAATATTAAGCAAGTGTCCTTTTTCTTTTCCGGGTCAAAATAATCGGACAAATTTAACTATTTTGTTTTAAAATAGATGTTTTATCATTCCTTTACATTCAAATTGCCTGTTAAGTGGTTTTTCTTCTTTGAAACCCGGTAAAACAATGTAAATTAGCCCTAAAAAAATCGTGTAATTTATTGCATAATAGTCCTATCTTATCGCATGGAATCTACCCTGAAAATATCGCACAATTTCTGATTTTTTATCGCACCCTATGAGATGGCGTGATTCTATGATCTTGTTAGTTAGCTTTGGGAGGTGATCATACAGTTCCTGTTCTTCAGTTTGAGATATTGTCCCACCAAATTAAGAGATGTTGAATGCTACTGCGTGGAGGCACCATCAATTTTCTCCTCCTTTATTTCAATTTTTAGTTTTTAAAGTTTGATGCTTGTATTTTGGCTCTGTAGGTATTATCCTGGGTTCATTTTTCTATGGATATATCATCACTCAGTTACCTGGTGGATGGCTGGGAGCACGGTTTGGTGGAAAGTATTTATTTGGCCTAGGAGTGCTTTGCACTTCTGTGTTGACAATTTTCACTCCTCTTGCTGCACGTCATAGTGTTGGAATGTTAATTCTGGTGAGAATACTGGAAGGATTAGGAGAGGTAAAATACTTAGTTGTAAACTTTCTGTACATAGTTGATCCATTTTAATCCTCTAATTAATCCCATACATTTGGATAACAACAAATACATTGTAAAATGCAAGTTAATTGAATGGTAAAAGTCATGACAAAAGGCAGCCCTTATAATTACATTTAGGCTATGTTTGTAATACACATAAATCAGTCGCCTTAGTTTGCCAGCAGCATGGTAGCGAGTGGAATAGCTAAAAATATTAGTGGTTCCAGCTGTAAAAATCCCCTGGCAAGTAACCATTAGCAATCTTCTTTCAATTATTTTTTATAAGTTAATTATTCCTACTCATGGAAAAAGGAACAGGTAATGCTTAATGCTGAGAGTCTCGTGCCCTTAGTGACTCTCTTACGTACTCTCTTATTAAACCATTTTTGTGTTTATTTAGATTGGGGAAAACTTGGTCACATGTTACAGTTCACCATTTGAGTAAACATTAATGACACATCTGATTCTAAATCTCACAAATCATTGTAAGCTAATCCCCAGAACTAGGGTTATTTGTTGTGGAATTTTATCTTTTGTACAGTTTGAATTTTGTTTTCCTTTGTTTACAACTCATACATTACCATACCCCATAACAAAGGAAAATAAAATTTAAACCAAGGGTAAAATAATGAACCACAAGATATTCATGTACTTTTTCACCTTTAATCCTCTCTTATTTACAATGAAAACCAAACTCTTTTGTCGTTATTCTATCCGCATTAATTATTGCGGGTGAGGAGAGCAGACCACAGTCCTGATCTCCAGGTTATTATGCATGTACGGTAATTACCGGTAATGGACTTGGACTAAGAATGAGTGGAATGCATAGAACGCAATTTGATCTTGAAAGCATGTTTGGATCTTATTTTACTCTTATTCCGATCATTTATGTTTTGATCTTCTACCATGTGAAACATATGCATAGCACAGTGTTGGAGCAAGAGTAGTTTGTCCTTCGATAGATCTCACCCACACTCCTAGTTTACAATCTGTGCAAGTGAACAGGCACTTAAATAGAACTGCTCTGAAAGTTCTGTTGTAAGAATCTCCCTGCGTCATGTTGTTTCATGCAGGGTGTGACGTTCCCAGCTATGCATGCCATGTGGAGTAGTTGGGCCCCTCCATTAGAAAGGAGCAAACTGGTCACTTTATCTTATACAGGTACGTACTGCTATATGTACATTTTAAATCAAGTCCACTGTTAACTGCCACCTGGTAGCTCGGTTGGAAATCTGCTGGTCTGCTGAGAGGGTGGCCATGAGTTCAATTTCCGACTGAACCACCAACTTAACCAGGGTCTTGAAAAAATACTGTTAAGATCATGTTACCGTAAAATTCCGAAAATAAGCCCCTCCATGCATAAGCCCCTCCAAATATAGGCCCCCCAAACTTGTAATGCAAAGAACCGTCTGTTAAATCGCCCCTCTATATAGGGCTTGTACTTGGAAAAGTGCCTTCAAATACAAGGAAAAAAAAAGCAAAAATGGTAAATTTCCTTCCAACTGTAAGGTTCGCTCAAGCAATTATGAAATGCAAATTTCCCTCCATAGATAAGCCCCTCCGAATATAAGCCCCTCAAAAAGGGCCTTTGAAAAAAGGCCCCGGGGCTTATTTTTGGAATTTTACGGTACCTTTACACTGTAAGTGTGATAAAAACCTCATGTCAGTCTAGATGGTTGTGTCTTTTGGTAGTGACGTTCTGCCGTTGACCTTCTTCTCTATTTTATTAGTACAAGAGTACTTGCTTATTTTTCTTGTTTATTTATCACAAAGGCCTTCAACTTGGCACCATCCTGGGTATGCCAGTGGCAGGAGTTCTTTGTGGGTCTGACTTGTGGGGAGGATGGCCATCTGTATTTTATATCTTTGGTAAGTTTGTACCCAGCAGTGGAGGTGATTAGAACCTCTACATCTCTCATGAAAAGATGACATATCTTAACCCATTCGCCCCTGAACCGCCCGTAACCGCCCGTGCGGATCCAGGTCCTTTCTGCCCTTTGTGACGTCATCAGTTTTAACGGTCAAGGACAACTTTCTTCGCACACGTGTGCAGAGTGAAGAGATCTTTCAAACCATACCAGAATGAGCACAATTCAGTCAAGGACACCGGAGAAAGAAGCAAAACACCACGTGACAAGGACCTGAAAATCTCCATGAAAATCTTGTTCCATTACCCACCTACCTTTCCTTTCACCTAATCCTAAGATCCTAAAAGCTTTCCTAAAAACTCTTCCCACCAAAATGAAGCCTACTAAATGCCCAGCAAGAGAAAAAAAAAATGAGGCAAGAAAAGCGAAAAAAGAAGGGAGGAGAGAAAGCGAAAAGTAAAAGTCAAGACTGCTGAGTCACTTTTAAACCCAAAAACTGTCGAAATTTTGCTTTCTGCGCATGCCCGAACTTCGCAAGCTGATATTTTGCATCTGGATCAGAAGGCCGCCAAGTGTACGACCTGTAAACCGGTTTGTGGTAAGTTTTAGCTCTTTATAGCACGACAGTGACCAGAAAACCACTCGACTAGCTTCAAAACGCGTTTTTCGGCAAAATCTCCAGGAGCGAATGGGTTAAAGGCATCACATGTTCACTAGGATGCCCAGACGCATCTTCTGACTGCCACGCTGTTAAACCAAATTCCATGGTCAACAGCAGGCCACCAGCCAAAAGGAAAATATTAAATTATAAAAATATTCACTTGAGACAATCAAAGAACATGTAAATATTATAGCAGATAAAAAGGAAGGCAAGGATAGTCAAACTACATGTAAAAAGGAGATTAAACAAAAATTAATAATATTGCAAAGAGTACGGTTTGTGAAACTGTTCAGACGTATTTGTTCAGCAAGACATAATTTATTTGTTTGTTGTGGAGCTGTGATTTCATCATTTACATTTCGTAACTTAATTATGGTAGCCAGGCTTTCTCAAAACCAGTTTCCAGTTTCTGGTGAGTTTCTGCTGGTTTGGTTTCTCTATCCTTCGAGCAAATAACGAAATCAGGGAGAGAGACTTCCTGAATTCATTTGAAGGGAGGGAGTGGCTGCACGTAGGCTCTCACTCGCTTTGTGAACGTCCTGCGCTCTCACATACTTGTGACAAGTCTACTAAGATTAGAGCGAGAAAATATATAAGCTGCCCTGACACCACTGCTTCTAGAATACACCTTTGATTATGGGATAGGGGTGCTTCCTCCATTTAATGATGCTGCTTCTTAAGTTGTCTCGTTGTCTTGCAGCTAAGGAACAGAGAAGTCTGCACGTGCATTCATATCCTTAAACATTGGTGTGGAAGTTCCCTAAATTTGATTGTTTTTTTTTTTAGGTGGTGTCGGTGTTTTATGGTTTATCATGTGGACAATGTTAACACACGACAGACCAGCTAATCATCCAAGAATATCCATCAAAGAAAGAGAATATATTCAATCTAGTATAGGAGCAGGGCAGGACAAAGAAAGAAGAGTACGGGATTTAAAGTTTATTGATAAGTAGCCTCATTTACAAGCTAATCGTTTTGTTGAGAAAACTGTCAACAGCTTCCTTTGTTTCCTATCAGTAACGAACGTCACAACGGAGTGATATCGTTTTGGGGGGATGCTGTCCCAAAATAACAGATGTTTTTATGGATCTTTAACCTTGTTTCAGGAGTTATAACTTGATCCCTGTTCAACTTTACAGCACCAAACTTGGTCAAATGACCAATATCAACATGTCCTTTTAAATGAAATTTGTAACTCGCCCCAGTTCCCTACCCCTTCAAATGCCTGCCACGCTGACTATATAAATTTCCAGGCGTCCAGATACTGGGGATGCCACGCGGAAAGGAGAATGTATTGAGAAAATAGAAAATTTTCAATAAGCAACTGTTAGCAGTCTCGCGCGATCATGAATTGCGATGTGAACTAAACGATAGTCCTGCCCCAGTGTGTATGTGGATTAAAGGAGCTGTGTCACGAAATTCAGACAAATTAGGGGCCGACCATTTAACTCTTGACGGGGGGGTGGGTGATTTTTGGTCGGCAAGAATTTTTTTTCTAGCAATCTGGTGGGCAGGATATTTTTTTCCCTTCTAAATGCTCTGCAGGATATTTTTTTTCCCTCCTCATTTCTCTGCAGGATTTTTTTTTCCTCAAAAAAGGGTCATGTGTTTACATATACAAAATGTATTTACACTTACATTCTGGTCATTGCAGTAATAGTTCTAATATGGAACTGCAAAGCCTTAAAATGTTGTAAGCTATACAAAATCATTATTGTATAGCTATCTTTTCAGAAAGTCATTCTTTACACTCATTTTATTACGTCAAAATAAAGTGATGCACCACAGGCAGATGTGAAAGTGTTTAGTTTCTTAATTAAAATAAAATAGCCAAAAATAGCAAAAAGCAGTTTAGAAATGCTCATAGCATGGTAATTGCTGCTAGAATCATTAGTTGCAATTTAAAAGTAGACTGAAATATCCAAAACCAATGTGAAAGCAAAATTGAAGTTAGTTGATCTTGGTCTAATTGAAAAATAGCTCTAATAATTTTTGCTCAGTCTTTTTTCAGTCCACTTCTATACAGTTGCAGCATTCAGCCATGTTCATTGCTGCTGTTAATTTTTATCTTGCAGCGCAATTTTTATTCATGAAATATACAGCTACTTTTTATGCACCTATCAATGTCTTGCCCAAACAGAGGGAGTGCGGAAATAGGTGGGGCATTTGACCTGTGAACTTTGTCCAAGGGAGGGGATGTTTTGAATAAGAATTAAGGTTTGAAATGGCAGAGGGTGTGGAATTTGAAATTTATTGACCAAAAATATTTGAAATCAATTGTCAATAGCCCCTGGGTATACCTGCACTCCCCCAATTGGGGCTAGACATCGATAAGTGCATTACTAAAACTTAAAAAAATATATTATATTTATTTAAATAGAAAATAATTACATAAAAATGTTTCTGTTAAAAATGAAAAAAAAAACTTCCTTTGTCTATAAAAACTTGATTCTTTAATTAAAAAAAATTACCTCCATTTATAATACTGCTTGTGATAAGCTAATAATGCATTGCACATATGACGCAATAATTTTGCAGCATCATCAAATCCAGAGTTCAAAGTGAGCAAGGGAAAAAAATGGTTGCAGTTTTGCTGCGATTTTTTAAAGACCCCCGGAATGATGAAATAGCTTTGCAACATTTTTTTTTTTTCTTAGCAGCAAGAATTTTTTTTTTTCTATTACATTTGTGCTGCATGCAATTTTTTTTTTCTTCCGACAAGCACTTGCAGGAAATTTTTTTCAAAATCACCCACCCCCTCAAGAGTTAAATGGTCGGCCCCTTAGGTAATTACAAAATGCTCGTTAAGTCGAGAGAAACATAAAAATAACCGCTTAAAACATTAAAGGAAGGTTAAAATAACACAACAGAAACAACAGATTCTGCGGATGGGCAAAACTGAAGAAGATTGAAATGGATTGAAATTAGGGTTTTTGAAAACTGTTTAGCCTAACAGTTTTTCAAAGTTGATCCCTGCAGCTTGCAACTTCAAAAATAATGCTCAGGAGATCTGATTTTGTCATTTACATGTAATTTGTTTGCTTACTTAAAGTTCCATAGTGATTGAGGGCGAGTAATTGGCAAAATTAAACAAAATGAACTAGACTGCCGTGACATAGCCCCTTTAACAGATGAGTGGACCAACTCTGTTGATCTACGAAACAAATTTGTTTTAAACGCCATGTGTACTCATATTGAGTAGTCCACCTACTGTCACGGCTCCTCCGTTCGTTGTAGAGCACTATCCTGGATTTAACGGTGAACATCACATGCATTTATTATAAGCTCATATATTTTCTCTAAAAAGATTAATGGGCAATGGACACTTTCCTGTGTCCCGAGCCACCAGCTCTCATATATCGTCAACCCCACTTTATGGACACTGGGTATCTGCGCACTGTCTATTTTCATTGTCCTATTATGGGCTAATTTTGGACATTGCACCCCGTTCAAATAATGACAGATTTATATGGGTAAATACAACTTTATCAGCCAACAAAACAAAACAAAAGCATCAACAAAGCAGAACAACACAATAACAACAGCAAAGTGGAGAGACATTTATTATTATTATTATTATTATTATTATTGTTGTTGTTATTATTATTTTGATCAGTCCGTTGTTTCGTCCGGTGTTGAACCGTTAGGCTGTACTTCCTTGGCTTTTTGCTTCAACCATTGCTCCTTTGTATCTGAATATCGATAAAACATGTGGCCATGTGGCCCTGACGTTTTCGTTGAGAGCCTGCTTAATACGGACACCCGGATAAAGCGACGACATGTCCCCTTGGTGTTTGTATTAACTGGGTTCTGTATATGTAACCTGCTTACTCTATTTCTTATGCTATGTTTTCAGAAACATGACACACCATGGCTTGCAATCTTTTCTTCGCCAGCCGTGTGGGGGATAATTGTCGCACATTTCAGCAACAACTGGGGTTTTTACACCTTTCTTACCTGTTTGCCGTCGTATTTTAAAGAAGTTCTCAACTTTTCAATTTCTAAGGTAAGAAAGACGTGTTGGTATCAAGGAGCGAAGTGAGTTACATTCAACTTTATTTATTGATTTCTCATTTATTTGTTGTCAGTTGAATACTATAGTAACAAGTCTATTTAGAACTAAATTTTAAAACATATATATAGAGGATATTACACGGTGGCGCGAAGATATGAATTTTATTTTGGAGTGGCAAAACAATATTTTACTCACTCGCTGCGCTCGTTCGTAAAATATTGTTTTTGCCACGAGAAAATAAAATTCATATCTTCCAGCCGCCGTGTAATGTTCTTTTTATTATATAGACAAAATGGCATCGATAAAACAATAGAGGGAAATTACCAAAATTACGTCATCGATAAACTCACGTGTGAGATTATGGAAAATAAACCACTCGGGTCCCGGATGTAGTTTTTATGAATTTTACGAGTGGTATATTTTCCAGTAAAACACTCGTGTCTATATAATAAAATTCCGTATTCTATTCTAGTTCAGTTCTGTGTTGCGACTTTTAATCGGACGAGTCTTATATCTGCCCCAAATGCTGTCCTCTCTCGATCAGTTAAATCTTGTTTTATTTCAGAATGGTTTCCTGTCTGCCATCCCGTTTGCTCTTTCGTACATACTTGGGATTAGTGCAGGTTATCTTGCGGATTGGATGCGTGAAAACGATATATTATCCACTGGGGAGGTTAGGAAAGTATTTGCCACAGGAGGTGAGTGCCCCCACTAGCCCCTCCCCCTATCTTGAAATAATGACAACAGTACATAATTAACTAGTTGCTGTAATAACCAAATGTTACGGAGTGCGGGTGACAACGATGTAAGGTCAAACGCTTTGCTCCAACGCAGCGAGTGCTTTGCGTAGGTTTCTCGTGACAAATGGTCAAAACACCGGTGATAAGATGACGAGGGGTAGAGGGTCGAAACGCGCGTGATCAAACTGCGATTAAAGGAAATGTATCTCTTGAAAGTCGGCTGGCTTATGGTGTATTAGGTTAATGTTAAGTCACGCTATGTTCACAGTATACCTCAAAAAGCTATGAGGTATACTGTGAACAGCAATGCCACAGGACTGAAACAAGTCTTTCACACACATCGAACATCGTGCCGGAGCCAGCCTCCTCCTGGCAATGCGAGCGCGAAACGCGAGTGACTGGTTGCGAAGCGCAAGAGACAATGGGAAGCAGAAAATCTCGCCCGTTTTCTCCTTCCCGCCTTCCTTTGCGCGCAAATTTTCATTGCGAGACACACGTCTGGGTACGAGGTAGTTGCCGGTGCGGTTCTGGCCGAGGGGATTTGGTTCTCCAAATGTTGAATACAGTTAACCGTCTCTAAGGACGCTTTCCATTTGTCAGAACTGAGCGGCCAGACCATTCCAGTCATAATAAGAATTTCTTCTTTTAATCAAAACTATCCGGTCAGGCCAGTCAGCTGCCAAATAGCATGCTCGAAGGAAATCGTGTTTCAACAAAAACTCTTGGAAAAAAGCATTTTTCATTGTCAAAATGACTGGTTCTGCTATGATCCGGTCGGCTAGTTCTGACTTTTGGAAAGCGTTTTAAGACGGACGATGTCCGTCTTACAGAGAGTCAAATAAAGGGAGTAAAGATAGGCAGGGACCGACTCTAGGTGTCCGTTTTTACAGAGGTGTCCGTCAAGAGAGAATCGATTGTATTTACTTCCGTCTCAGTGGATTCCAGTCCTTGCTCGAACTTACTCACTTCCGCTACGGTCCAAATACCTGTTCAGACTTCACCAAAAGTATCGCACAGAACCTAATATCCAATGTGTGACTCTCCACTTTCGAGATCAGGGTTGCGCAGCCCTGCTCCTTTACAGAAATTGCGCTGAAATCACCGTTGTAAACTGTGTTTGCAGAAGCCTTGTCCGATATGATTTTCGTACCGGCGCAAAGGCTATCCGATAGACTGTCTATCCGATATAGTGTGAAGAAAGGCTCAGTCAACTTACTAACTCCAAAATAGTTTTCATTTGTTGGGTACTTGGTTTGATGGTTGAGTGGCTTGCTTCTATTAGTATCTAGAAGTCCTGAGAGTACTGGTGTCCTGTTTCACTCAGGGATCCGTATTTAATCTATTGCCTGGTCCCTGCACGGCGTCTTCTCAGGCCTCCTCGCTCGGACCACGTAACCAGAAACGCATAGACCGCGCGGAATAATGAGGGCTGGGGACTAGGCAAGTAATCTTCTCATGTTTCTGTTTCTCAGGTTACCTCATACCCGCCTGTCTGATGATAGCCACAAGTTATGTTGGCTGCACATCCACCAGCCTGGCAGTTGCTCTATTCTCACTGGCTCTAGGTTCCTCTAATCTTAATACGGCGAGCTACACTGTCAATCATTTGGACATCGCTCCTAGATTTTCTGGAGTCCTAATGGGAATCACAAACGCAGCCGGGACTATTCCAGGGATAGTTGGACCCTATGTGGTTGGACTGTTAACAGATAATCAGGTATGCTGTTAGAGGAATACACAACGGGTGGTTTGTCTAAAACCAGGGATCTGGAATCCGCAAAAAAACCCTCGCCGAACGTCAAATGACTCTGAAGTTTAGTGATTAGGGTTGGGAAACTGAGTGAATCAAGTTTCAGGTCAGTTTGGCCAGTATAATGACCTTAAATGGAACCTGATTCACCCAGTTTCTTAACCCTTTCCGGATTCCGGGTATAGGCAAAT